TGCTGATGTTACTGATGTGTCTCTAGCACCCAACACAGGGCATTGCACAGAGAAATGTGTAAAATGTGTTGGATGAATGCATGCTTGAAAGAAGGACTTCCAGAATGATGTGTTTCCAGTCCACAACTGGTACTTCATGAAATCGTTCCTCTTGAGAATCGTGGCTTTCCCAGCCATCTGGACTCCAGCAGTGTGTGCCATCTGTGCCTGTCCTTTGGCAACTAGCCAAACCCAACCAAGTTCCATTCATCCAGCTTCCATGGAGCTGCCCTGTTGGCAAGGACTCAGTCTTATGGAATGAGGAAAGCATGTCCTAGTTCATGGTGCCTCAATTGTATTTTAAAGACAAGCTGGACATGGGTCGGAACCTTTTCTAAACAATTTTAACACCCAAATATATTATTATAAATGACTTTCCTTTGCCAACACGTATGATTACCATTCAAGAAATAAATGGTGATGGATGATGAATAAACAGAAGATTATTTAGCAGGCAAGTAGGGAGAGCTGTAAGGGTGGGGAGGGTTAAGAAGGAATCCCTGTCTGACAGAATCAGTTTCATTAAGTGTGAAAGGAAGGACGAGTGGTATCTCAGACATTCAGGCCCGTCCTGGGACTGGGGTTTGAAGGGATGCTCAGTGTAGTCCCTGGTGGATAAAGGAAGCCAGATCCCTTCCCCCATGTGATAGCCTCTTTCTGACGATTACCCTATTTGAATTTGATTACTACTCATTTCTGCTTCCGTCTTCATATGCACATCCACACACCCAATGGGACTGCACCTTAGTAATTGGCTTTTGTTTTGATAATGCTTTCTTTTTATGGAATTAGATGCACTCTTGTATGTCTTCAATAAACACTACTTCCATGGATTTACAAATTGTTTTTATACTATGTTACATGTGGCCATTTTCATTCAAGTACACAGCGTACTTTGAGCATATTCCCCTCCATGTACTGCTTTCTCTTTTCTTCTCTCTCCGTTTAGTTCTTCTTGTTCCCCTCGAGCAGTGGTTCCCAACCTTCCTAATGTTGTGACCCTCATGCTGTGGTGACCCCAACCACAAAATTATTTTTATTACTATTTCATAACTTTAATTTTGATACTGTTATGAATCATAATGCAAGTATTTGTGTTTTCCAATGGTCTTAGGTGACCCCTGGGAAAGGGTCGTTTGACCTCCAAAGGGGTCTCCACCCACAGGTTGAGAACTGCTGCCTTAGACTGTTTCTGCTTTCATGCCATCTACACATACGTGGTGATATGAATCTATAAGATCTAGGATCGATAGTGAACTTCTAGGAACGACAGAAATATTACAACAATGAATCATTTAAATAAGTGATAGATCCATTGTCTGGAAGGTTGTCTAGAGAATGAAATTATGTTTTCAGAAAAGAGAGCGTGGCCTGGAGAAGTACACAGCATATTACATGAGAAGGATCGATTACTGGGACAGTGTACATGCATACATGGCTGTACACCTATGCAGGTGCGAGAACATGGACAATTGATTTGGGGATGCTTTGTGTTTTAAAGGATCTTTGTATTTAGTGTTGCAATCTAAATTTGGACAGAGTTGGGAGGCGTGCACTGTAAATGAAGTGGGTAGTACTAATGGGAATATGGAACAAGACTTCCTTCAGTCAGTAGCTTTCATTTTGTTTGCTTTTGAAACCTGCTTTCCACATTTAGCCCTGACTGGCCTTGAACTTGCAGCCACTCAGTATGCCAGGATTATGGGTGTGTGCCACTGAACCTCACTCTTTCTCATTTTGAGCAAGGCAAAAATGCACAAAGCATTAGAAAAAAAACTCCCAGGAATTTTTTTCAGTTGGAAAGAAGAGAGGATGTCTATTGGTGGTCAGAACTCAAGGCCCACCATAAAACACTGGGTCTATTAAAGAAGCCATGGGGAACAACTCAGGCTTCCGGATCTAAAGGGAATTGATTGCAGTGATGTTGGAGAACTATTCTAGCCACAGCAGGGAAGGTTGGGTTGTAAGCAGGGAGATTTGCCAAGAGACTCTCAGTCTGCGAGTTTGACCTGGGTAATGAGGGCATGGATTAAGCACATGGCAATAAAACCAGAAAGGAAGAAGCGGCTGGATCTGAGAGATGCTATGCAGAAAGAATCAGAGCTGGAGATTCACATTTGACTAAATACTTGCCAGGTAGCATGTGAAACTATGTAAAGCAGACACTTTCCAAGGAAATTGGTATTAAGAGAGGATAGCTGAGGGCTGAGTGTTTGGGGATCGCAAAAGTTAATTGAAGGAGTGAAGAAGAGGGAGGGGCCAACAGAGAAATCAGAGAATGATGGATCAGAGAGATAAGAAGAGAAACTTGAGAATGCAATGCCAGGCATGCCAAGGATAAGACAGTGACAGGAAGGACTTGATGGCTGCCGTGTCAAATTTACCTTGCAGGTCAAAGGGGCAAACTGAAAAGAGACCTCTGAATTTGGCCATACAGAAAGAGAGATTTGGTAGAAAGTATTAGGCAAAGGAGGGAAGAGGGAGGAAACAGATGCAGCTCCCAGTCCCTACCCACATAAGGAAAGTCATGCAGTAGGGGCAAGAAGAAGGTCAGATCTTAGAATTTTGGTTTGTTTTGAGTCAGGGTCTCACTCTACAGCCATTGCTGGCTTGGAATTCAGTACAAAGATAGCCTGGCCCCAAACTCACAGAGATCTGCCTGCCTCTGCCTCCCAAGCTCAGAGATTAGTGCCACCGACACTTAGCCAGATCTTACAGTCTCAGCACTACTACTGGACTTCCTTAAATATGTTTCCTTTTTGGAAAATGACAGTAATATTATGAGCTCATGAAGCTATTGAAAAGTCCAAGGTTAACGGGTTATTCTTTACGTTATGGTGAGCATTTTTGTCTTACGTACCGTCCAAACCCTAGCTATTTTTAGGCATGCTTCAACAGACAGGAGGAATCTTTTAGTTCAACAGCTTTATCTCTGGAGAGTCGCTGCTTTGGAAAGTCCCTTGTGGTGCCTTATGGCATTCATCACTTTAGCAGTCATTCCCTGTTCTGAGCCCTGCTGAGGTGAGAAGCCTGAGGCCCCCATCCAAGTCCTGTGGAATGTCTCTGTGGCCTGTTACAAGTTGTGAAGCTGTGATATAATGGTGCCAACCTCATCTACACATCTCTAAGTTTGGGGGCCCCTGATGGGAGAGTGGTCAGTAGGGTAGCTGGGGCAAAGGTGCCAGCAAAGCTCTTTGAAACTCAATGGCAAGGCTGGAGAGGTGGCATGGCAGTCAAAGGACTTGCTGCTCTTCCAGAGGACCCAGTTCAAATCTCAGGACCTCTCCCTGTCCCCTGCCATGGCAGCTCACAACCATCTGCAACTCAAGTTCCAGGGGAATTGGTATCCACTTCAGGCCTCCCCAAGTGCCAGACACACATGTTGTGTGCAGAAAAACATGTGGATAAAATACTCAAACAATAAACAAAAGTAAATTTTAAGAACTCATGGCACTTACAACTTGGTCCCTGAATCAAATGGTATTTATTGATCAGGCAGTTTAGTCTGCGGAATGTCCATAAGGTGTAGACTTTTTCCTGCTGTTTTCTCATGTATATGTCTCTATACAGCCAGACATGACCACAACTACCTTGATGTTTTTACTTCTTTTATCTACAAACGAACCCCTTTTGACTTTGTCAATCCTAATCTGTATTCAATTTAACACAGTCCAAAGTTTTGGCACAGGACATGGCTTCCATATACAACTATGTTGGACTGCAGTCTATTCCATGAAGCATGTGGCCCCCAGTCCTTGGCTTAGACATGCCTGGAACTGATGTTCGTCTGAGTGCCTTGCTTGCTCCTGCCAGGAGATACCTCCCTGAGGAAATATGACTTCTCCAGAAGCCATCAGACACTAGAGTTATTATCAAGCCCTGGAGGGTCACACAGTGACGCGCTGGCTTGTCTGAGAGTATGTTTTCTAGAAATGGCATTTTTCAGATCCTGAGACATCTAGGAAGTGTAATCATAGACTTTTTGTTATTCCTGCTCCTCTTAATGGTAGAATTTGATTTCATTTCTGGGAAGATGGCTTCCCCAAAGGAAACAGGGTGACATTGTGCATAAAACACAAACATCTTAAGGCACGAGGGGAACTGTCAAGGTGTGGTATTAAGAGCAAGACTAGCGGATTGTGTATCATCAGCAAGCATTTTGAACAACTTGGAAGTCTTCCACTGTGTTGTCTTTCTGAAGTAAGTACCTGATCCCTCAGGTACCAAATTTGGCCTGGCTATCTTCTAAATAAGACCGCAGGTGAGAGAGAGGGAGAAAAAAGTGTGAGGACTGGAAACTAAATAGACCTTAACTAGGGGAGTAACAGGCATAGGATGCGAACAGGGTTGGGGTTGGGGGATCTCAGCTGCGACAATCCAGTTAGAGCGGTTGGAAGACTTCTGAAGTCTTGCTTGGGCACTCCAGGGCAGGTCCTGCCTTGGGGGAGGCAGGCGGCTGCTGTACCTGGGCCAAAGCCAGGCCTGCAGGGCTGGTGACTAGAACTTGGAAGGAATTCTCTTCCGCAGCCCAGGGTCCAGGCTTGGCCCCAGCATGCCGCCTTGCCAACCTCTGCTGCCTGGGGCCTTGCACATTCCGAGCCCCCACCCCTCCGCCCCTCCTCCGGGCTCACCCCGTCCCTTATACCCCTTCTCCTCCCCCTACCAGCTGTCCCCTTTCCCCTAAGTGGCGAGACAGTCTGAGCCTGGAAAGAGGCGGCAGCGGACTGGAGGGGGCGTGGTGGGTAAGGGGAGGAGGAGCGGGGATGAGGGGGATCAGGAGGCTCCTGCCCGCGCCCCCAGCCACTGCGCGCAGGTCGGTCGGCAGGGGAGCTGGGTGCCACCTCACTGTCGAGGTCTCTGCTCCCTGCTTGCTCTGCCTGTTCCCTTGCTCGCTTGCTTCCCCTCGCCTCTGGGGAAGGGTCAACGGCGTCCTGGAGCCTCCGTGTCACTCTCCAACAGCCATGAACTGCAGCGAGAGCCAACGGCTGCAAACCCTCTTGAACCGCCTGCTGCTGGAGCTGCACCATCGAGGCAACGCCAGCGGCCTGGGTGTCGGCCCGGGCCCGAGTATGGGCATGGGGGTCGTGCCTGACCCCTTTGTGGGCCGCGAGGTGATCAGCGCCAAGGGCAACGATGCTTATCTCTACATCCTGCTCATCATGATCTTCTATGCCTGCCTAGCCGGAGGCCTCATCCTGGCCTACACCCGCTCCCGCAATCTCGTCGAGGCCAAGGATGAGCCACCCCTGGCCTGCGTTGCTGAGCAGGAATGGGTCCCCACCGCCTCCGCAGACCCGGAGAATGGTCAGGGCTTGCTGGCTGAGGGCGGCCGCCAGCTCGCACTGGGGGCGCTGCCTGTGATAGCCCAGGGCGATGAGCGGGTCTAGATCCACTGCCCTCCTCATTTTGCTTATCCCTGTGCCTGGCTCCTGCTCTTTCACTGTCCTGATTTCTGAGCTTGCTTTACCCGGGGCCCAGATGATGATGAGAGGTCAAAACACCTTCAAGGCAAGGTCCTGGGAGGAGATGCATCGCCTTACTCACACCTGACCACTTTCTCTCTCCCCTCCCTTCCATGCCAGCACCCCTATCCCGCACATGCAACTGAATTAAATTGCCTCTGCTCTCTTGTCTTCAGCCAGCCCCAACACCATGCTCCAGCCTTCTGGGAACAGAATCCAGCACGTCCAACACTTGGCATTGAATCGAAGCAATGAAGTCTAGCAGAACTCTGGGCCATCTAACTGGCAGCTGCTCCAGGGGCTGCCAAGGACTGCTCACTCTGCACAGCTAACTGGGTTAGCCATCACTGCCAGGCTGGCTGCAGCAGCTCCGGCTTTCTGTTGCCTTGGGGACAGAGACAAAGAACATGAAGAGACTTCAGACATCTTTTCCTTCTCTCTCTCTTCAGCAGGCTATTAGGGAGACACTATTGTCGGATAAAATGGACTGAAGGGGAGGGAAGGTTCAATGGGAAAGGAAGATCTATGGCCCCAGGGGTATGGTGTTCTGGTTTCCCTGTCCTCCTAATTGTCATCCCAAAGGTCTGAGCACTAGCAATTTGGACATCTGGCTTGGATAATCATTACTAGTTGCTTAGCCTTAATGATTCCAAATGCTTCTCTTATATTGATTCAGTTATTACTGCAGTGTGTGCTTCATTCAGTATGAGGCTCAGTCATCCCCAGCTCTGTAACCCTGGGGAATGTTACAGGCAGGTAATAAAAGTTGTTAAACAGTAACTCAAGACTCTTGTCTCAAAGATCCCAGCCTTGAGACTGACCCAGTATTGGATAGACAAGGAATTGTTTATTTTTCATTTGGAAATGATGTTGGAATTGGGGGGTTGTAACATCTATATTTATGATAGTCCAAATATGATAAATGTGGGGTGGGGGGAGGAAAGAAACATATATACAAAGTCCCACCTACTGAGGGTGTTGAAGTAGGAAAATCACTTGAACCCATGAGTTCAAGGCCTGCCCGGGCAACATAGTGAAGAAGTTTCTGTGCCCGAATGGATTGTTTAATGTGTTTCAGAAGTTACAGCTGCTTTATTACCTCTTCATCACTTTAAATATGACAGTACTAATTAAGTATTTTCTGCCTCCTTTTTGTGGTTTTGCAGAATGTGCATTTAAAAAGAAAGCCTTCAGGACATAGAAGGAGTTGGAGGAGGGGTGATATAGATACACATGATGTACACACATATGAAACTTAAAAATTAGTGTAATTTTGAAAGAAGTTCCTTAAATACAAGCTGAAATCAAAGCTAATTTTATAGCTACCTTTATAAGTTATATGAGATTCTCACAATGTAAAATTGTAACCCCGAGGTCAGAGGTGTGCTTTCTCCTTTAGTTTTTATATGCAATGTTAAGACAAGGTTTCACTATACACTTGAAGCTCACCCCAAACTTATTATGTAGCCCAAACTGGCTTTGAACTCATCATCCTCCTGCACCATTTTATCTGGCTCTAGAAGTGAATATTTACCGAGTCATTCTCCTTGCTCCCAGGTTATCAGAAACTAACTTGCTTAGGACTGAAATACTTATACCCATGATTATGGTTTAGAATCCATCAAATACATAGGAAATTACTTCTTAAAAGTCAACCAGTTTGCTCCAGTACAGTTGATTTGCCGGTAACAGCATGACAAAGACATTATGGATCAGTTACATGCATTGATAATCTGGAAACCTCATTCAGGCCATTGCCCTTGACCTTCCAGCTCATCTAGTTTTACTGGAGCTATTAATAAGTTAAATGAACTTACTTTCATCCCCAGGCTTCATTCCTTGAAGCAAGGCTGGCATGGCCTCATTGGCTCCTCTCCAGTCCCAGTTCCAGACCTAAGGTCACCTCCTTTTCTTGAAGGTGGGGGCTGAGAATTAGGCAGGAGTCCAAGACAATGATGGGAAGATAGAAGATGCTGGGAGAGCCACTGCAGCCATATAGGGAGGCCTGAGAAAGCTGTGGAGGAGGGGTGGAGATACACAGCCATGATGAAGGACATAGGAGTCAGTCACCAGCGTGTGTTAAGTGCAATAATGCCACTTGTTTCTCTGGCATAATTGAGCAAGAAGGGGTGTTTTGGGGATGAAATGTAATGGCTGTTTTAGGTGCTGAAACTTGGGAAGCGTATTTGTAACCATTACTAACATCTGTAAGTATATAGTGCTAAAAATAAAAGAATACACTAGACAGAGTTGAAACAATACCCACTAAAAAGCATTCCAGTGCTAGTAGTGAAAAAGAATATCGTGTCAAGTCAGTCCTGATTTTAGATACATTTTATTTAACCTTTCTTTTTCACAATGACTTAGGTGTCCCTTGGTAATTACCACACACAATAACTATACAGAAGGCTCCGTTCCAGAAAAGTGAACTGGCTGGGGGGAGCGTGGCCTGCCTTACCATCCAGTTGGTTTTGTCAAATACTTTCATAGTTTAAAGTTTTCCCCAGATAATGAAGTTTGCCAGAAGTTTGGACACTTGATATCTACGAACCAACAGGGTGTCCATAGTATTGAAGTGATCATGTCACACTCAACAAAACACAGGGAAGAGAAAATCTAGGTGGCATGAACCTCCAGTCTTGATAACGTAGCCTCAAAGACCATGAGGTAACTCTTTAAGTCTAGAATATTTAGACTCAGCCTTAACTGATTTTAAAGGTGGTAAACCTTTCAAGTAAATACAAGTGACCAATTTTCACCCCACCTGATATTCTATTTCCCTCCCCTGCACACACAGATAGACCCTATTTCCTCACAGGTTTGGATTTTCGCTCCATAACAACAATGAAGCAGAAGAGACTTGCTTCCTGTAACTTGAGGTTCCCATCAGAGGAGTCCTGAGCAATGTTTGCATTACAGTATGCCAAAGTGCTCATCACCAGCATAGAAATGAACAGAAGCCTTTCTTCAATCACAAGCCTACTTCTGTGTGGTACATTTTGGTTTTCTAGAGGGATGTAAATGGAGCCTTTGATTGGTTTCTAGTTACCATCTTCTTTTCAATTTGCCTTTGCTTTTTACAAACCCAGGCTCTGCACAGGATTTGAATCTGCAAAGAGGAAAGGGCTTGGGCTGCTTTCCAAACAATCTTGCCTGATGGTTAAAGCAAAATGTACTGTGATGTCTTGGAGAGAGGCAGAGGATCAGGGATCCCCAGAACTGGAGTCTAGCCATGGCATTGCCAATTACCCAGTATTCTCTATGAAAGAGAGCTGCTTAGCCTCTCTGGTCTCAGGCCCCCGGAGCTCTGGCAAACGTAAGGATAAAATGAGGTCATGAATGGGGAATAGCTAGGATAAATACAGAGCTAAAGATGTGTGGGTGTTTGTTTTATACTTTCTTCCTTAGGAAATTAAATAACAGAGAAAAGGGGAAGAGAAAATTGCTCACTCTGTAAAATCTATTCAGATTGCCTAGAGAATATTGGCGACACCTTATTTAACTAGCAACTACCATAGTTCTTAGCCCATTTTTCCCATTCTCAAAATCTTGGCTGGGTAAGAAGCCGTGCCATACTATCTCAGTGCTCTCTTTCCCTTTGCTTCCAGGCCCAGAATTCTCATGTAAAATATGACTATAATCCCATACGCACAGGACTGTACCAGGCATAGGCCCAAGGGGAGTGGAAAAGCATAAGAAAAAAAAAGTCAGGATTTGGGGGGTTCTATAGTTCTCCCCGACTTTCCCTGTTGATTTGCCAAGCTTACTCCTCTAAGGAAGGGAAATAAAAGCATAAACCAAACATCTCACATATGTTCAGCTACTGCATTTCTCCTAGTCCTTTCCCAGAAGTTCAGGACCTCACTATATCCTAAGTGACACTCTCAAGTAACTGGTGCTGTCCTTTGAAATTATGGATCTTGTGAGACAGGGAAGAGGCAGAGTTGTCTAGAATGTTCTGTGCAGGTAAGGGAACATGACTGAGTGCAACCAGGGGTGAAGAGATTGGATTGAATCAGCAGCCACCCTAGGTGAACTTGAACTACTCATCAAAAAATGGCTGTGGGAGAAAGTGATGGGAAGTCACCTTTCAGCTTTGCTGCTATTTAACCTGCAGCATGCCCAGGAAAACAACGTGGTCAAGATGACTTTAGTTTTTAGTGCTAACCCCTCAGAACAAGACGGCAACACCATTTATTGTCCTGTCAACTGAGCCTTGAGGCAAAGTAGGACCACAGTCAAAGCTGTGACCCACTCCTCCGAAGAAAATTCAGCCAGGGAAGACCGGATGATGCTTCAGATGTACTTTGCACAATTGTGGAAAAACACTTGGACCATTTCGCCAGAGAACAATGGCCATGTTGTTCCACACTGTCCTTTAAAGTCAGAGAAAAGGGCAAAGGCTAAGTTATATAGAAATGATTGACTGCCCGGAAGCATTTACACATTAAATGGATCCCCTGGAGCAAGGTGAAAGTGAACTAAGGAAAGAATGCCTAGTTGCAGACTTCAGAGGAATAAGAACGGAGAGATATCTAGGAATGACTATAAATGAGTAAGGGAGGCTATATGAGTTGGAGAAGGTATTGAGGGAGACACTGCGTAACATTCTGATTTTGCTGCCAGTTGCTCTTGGGATCCTGGGGAAAGACTGGGGTAGCCATGAAAGGACTGAACTAGTCACTGTTATTACCAAATTCACATGTATCTGAATTAAAAGATGTCCATTTATGGCAATGCACAAAAAAAATTCCTTTAGGTTCTTTTTAGGATCTGGATGTGGTCTGGTAGAGGTGGCATTTTTGGGCTGGTAGAAAAAATGGAGACAATTGACTTATTAAGCGCTCCCTTGCGTTCACTGGACCACTTTTTGAGGGGTGCTATATGCTATAGGATTAGTATTTACCTCATTTCTTCCCTTTTTTTGCCCATCCCCATTGCCAGTTCCAGGGCTTCAGACTCTTTCTGCTCCATTACTAAGACCCAAGGATCTTATTCATGCCTATTGAGTCTATGCTGCGTCCCAGCAATAACCATGTGGATGTGTCTTCAGTGGTAACTCTTAAATAGCCCAAGAAGAGAGAGAGATACAAAAGGCAAAGGATCTTCGTCTAAGGGCCTTCAAATCCAATATAAGACTGCCTGGGGCAGCAGTCACATTACTGTTCTTTAAGGGCAGAAATTCGTGTTTATGTTCATTTGTTTCCCCCTATTCTTGCTGCTTTGGGGAG